GCTGCTGAAATTGCAATCTTGGCAGTGGCCTTGGTGGCTGCTACTATTCAGGGAAAGGTGGTTGTTGTTGTGTAGCCTACAACTACTGCTCAGGACCAAATGCAGATAGAGCCTGCAGCCTCTCTATTTTTTGCTGCATTGTATGAGGTTGTGGCTGTGTCGGTCCAAGACCTGGCCTTCTCGTTATAAAAGGCTGGGCAGGCACTTGCATTATTTGAGGTGCCTATAGAGCTAGCATTCTAAAAATAGCTTGTGCAGGCTCAAATCCCTAATTAGGAATCCTCTTGCCCATTTGCTGGACTGCGTACCACTCAGTAGTTGCTTGTTGAATATCCGGCACGTGTATTTCTAATACCTTTTGCTGCACCTCAAAAGTGGCTCACAACCATGCTGGTATTTTGTGGAGTGCATCTAAGGGAACTGAGGCTCGGTAGGGCACCTTCCCTCCATCGAGTAGTAATATCCCTTGTAATATACTCCCTCATATCGGTCATAAAAGACCCCTAGGATATCCCAACATCTGTGGATGTCCTGCACGGATAGAGGATGTACCTTTAGGATGGAACCTCTTTGTGTTCCCCTGGTCTCTCAAACCCTAAGTGGCTCTCTCTGCTTCTTAAAAGCTGGGTCTGGTTTGCCCATATTATATTTGATCTCATGGGTTTCCTGACATGCACTGCTTCCCCCTTGGTGGAGTGCCTTGACATGCTGACCTGCATGTTGAGCCTCCTTGAATTTGAGATATTCAGCCATCTCCCCCTTACCCAATGCTACAAGCAATTGGGCTTTCTTCTCAGCTTCTGCCTATGCCTTTTCCAAAGTTGCTTTCTCCAGTGCCTCCTCCTCTTGCGAAGAATGGGATTGCCTAGAGTTCCTGCTGATCCAATAAAAACAACATCATCATGCCCTGTAGAATCACCCCCTTCTGCATGATCAAAGACATGAGATATGCAAAGTAGCTCTAGTGGAGCTACAACAGGAATTTCATCTGTTTGCTTCTTTCTTGCCTCTTGGGCTGCTTGGCTTTCCTCGAAGGCTGCGGTTCACCAAATCTGGCTGGACTATGCGCCCCATTGTCATCATTGCTCGCCACATCTGCCCACGGGGCTGCTTTCTGAGTCGACTTCACTCTATGGGGTGCTTTGCCTGGTGATTTTTTCTCAAGCTGCTCCAATGCCTTGGCCTATAAAACTAGGCCCAGCTCATTTGCCAAATTGATAGACTCAACACGCTGCACCTTTTGGCTGCCGCCTGCATGAAGGAGCTGATCGACCTCAGCCCTGTGTTGGCATTTCCTTACCCGCTTTTGCTCATACTTATCGGGACTCAACTACATATCCCATTCATATCAAAGAGCTTTTTGCTCTCTATGCTGATGATCTCTATGAGCTTTTTGCTCATTGGGTTGTTGCACATGAGCAAAACGTTTTTGGTTGTAAGCATGCTGCCGTTCCTTCTCCATGCGGTGAACTTGCGCCTTTTTTGACATGTCCCCAGGAAGTGGGGAGGCACAGGAAGAAAAAAATTCCCAAATTTCCTCCCATCGTTGGTGAGGGTCATCTAGAACTAGCCTCTCTGGGCTACCATCACTAAGATCCCATGGCTCAAGGATATGCTTGAGCCCAAAGGCCATTTTTTTCTGGCCAGTTGGGATCATCCCTGGCGATTTGATCCGCCATGCTGGGGCTATACCACCACTGAATTTTAATCAGCTTCGATGGTGAGGCGCATGCCAAACCTTTTTAAGGCCATTTTCCAGCCCTCGTCAAGGTCATCAAGCCAATCTGAATGGAACTCTATCATTGGGATCTGCAGCTTTATGGTCTGTTGTGCTGCAATGTGAGGTGCGGCTCGAATTCCAACACTCTTGCATCCTCTTCCGGACACCATTCTGGCAGCGCTGGCCTGCGAGGGTTCCATGCTAGGCTCTCAAGTGTGCGGAGACTTGGGTCACACACCTAATGTGCACTCTCCATCAAGGAGTCCCCATTAGGTTGCTCTTCATCACTAGGTGTTTTGGCTTGCACATGTGATCTAACCTGATGTACCCGGGATCTGGCCGATGGGCCTGCTTGCTTGCCTATCTCAGGCTATTGAAGGTTCTCACCTGGCTAAGGACTCTTCCTCTTTGCCCTGGATTGGCCGACCTCTTGCCACTCTCCAGATGCTCTTGGAATGCCTGGCATCTTCAGTCCGGTCGGATTGGTGGCCCTCTCAGGCTGCTTAGACTGACGCGCAACGTTTTCCTCTGCTTCGCACCCCCCGCTCTTTTTGCTTCAACAGATGGTCGCTCAAGATAGCCACTTGCTCCTGCGCAGAGGCCTTCTCAGCTTCAGCCTCCTTGCTCCTCTCCTTGGCCTTTTTCAAGGCCAATTCATGCCGGCGCACCTCCTTCTAAGTGGAGGCGACCTCGATCTCCAGCAGTGCAATCGGGGCTGATGCATCCCGATCACGGGCTTCTTGCACCCAGGCGGCCACTGTCGCCGCCATTTTCTCCAATAGCTCCATCATCCCAGGAGCTAGGAGAAATGCTGCCATAGTCCCCGGCTCCACCAGTACGTCGATGGGGGTCTCCTCTGCTTCTGCCATAGGCTGGTCCTAATACTCAGCCTCCACTTGGCTAGCGGATAATCCTGTTGTGTCCTCACAGACTGCTTCCTTAGTGGCTTGGCCCTCACGGGCTACTTCCCCTTCATTGGTGTCTGCCGCTGGTGCCCCATCTCAGGGTGTTGATTCGACCACCTCCACGGTCTGGCCCTTACGGGCTGCTTTCTTGGATTCCTCAGCCTACATGGAGGAGGCCGGGGACAGAGTCCTCTTGCGTTGTCCTCACCTTTGCGCACAGTCGAAGCGGGTGAGCCACCCCCAGGTGGCTCCAAAACCAATTGATACAACACCGTTAGTGGTATGGGGCGCATGCCCTCTTTAAGCAATGGACCCACCTCGCCGGGCACCTAGGTCCTTACAGGGACCTAGGTGGGACCACCCCGGCCTACTCCCGTATCATATTGTATAAGAGAATAAGGTCCGGTTGGGAGTGTTGTTACCATTTCTTGGGCAGGGCGTCCCCCACACCAAGAGACCATTAGTAGGGCGTCCCCCACATCAAGCCGATGTGCGAAATGGCTAGAGCCCTAGAAGAAGAGCCACGCACGTGATCTGCCACAAAGACGAGTGGTCAGCGCATCCCCATCGGCTAGGGAGCGGTGGAGCGGAGCAGATTGGAGAGCTCTAGAGGGGTTGAGCCAGACAACATGGAGTGTGTGTGTGTGTGTGTGTGTGTGTGTGTGTGTGCAACGTGTTGGCGGGTGGGCATATGGTGTGACTAGGTATCAGCCTCCCTCCATGACCCCGCCATCGCGAGGGGGCCTCTGATGCGCATTTTGGTCGGCCACGTCCATCCTCAAGCTTCCTTGACCAGCGTGGCATAGGGAGCGGGCACCGGCCGCCCACCCACCATCACGGCACACAGGTGTGGCCGGTGAGGTTGCACATGTCTAATGGTCGTTGTACACATGGGGCCCATGAGGTCTCTGGTGCATGTGTGTGTCACTGTGCGTGGGCACTTTTTCGCGTTACTCTCATGGACGTCATGGGGCTTGCGCAACCACCCCTCGGGGGTCGTGTGGTGCACACAAGCGACCTGGTACCAGACGGTGTGTGCCTTCCGTCATCTTGTGGATCTTCCGTCGTCCCGTTCCCCATCGTCCCGAGCGAGCATGGTTGTGCAAGCTATGTGTATTTTTTTGGTGTCTTAGATGTTCAGGTCCCTAGTGCCTTCGTGAAACTTTTGTGACCTTTATGTCTGGAAATGATGGGTATCGGACAATCCTCCAAAAGAGCAAAACTCATATTGGCTGCGGAACGGAGAGCCAGTCATGTGCCAATATTAAGGGCTGACTCGAATATGAATCATAGTCTTGTATTGGATCAATTCCTATCTGTGAGCGACTGGGCACAGTTCATTGGAACCTCGAGGTTATCACAGAGTGTGGGACAGATGTTTGAGTCGACTGTGATTTTTTTGGAATTGAAGGAGCATGGGAGAGCGACCAAGAGGACCGCTTTCACAGAAATAAGGACACTGTGAATGCACTGTCAAATCGCTTCTGCCCTTCTACAGCGCTCCGGTTGTGCCTAGCTTTGACCCATTCAACAAACATGACGGCGTTGGAATGTTCGCAGTCATCTGGGACACGTCAGCACATGATCAGGACTTGGAGCACATGAATTTCGCAAGTTACAACGACCTTACTTCAACCCATTCCAGACTTATTGCCCTGACAAGCCACGGCCGACACATTCAATGCCATGAAAGCAACAGTGAACTTTGTCACGGCCCCTGCCTTGCCATCCTCATTGAGGGTTACGGCGCAACACCAATTCACTAAGTGCTCGCATTGCTACCAAGGGCTGGAACAACCAGGCAGCCCTTCTGCATATCAACCCCCGACACTTGCTCCCATTTATCCAAACGGCCCGTCAACGCTGATTCGTGCTTGATGGCAAATCGTCATGGGCGACATCGATGGCATTTTATGCAGGCATGTGCTCCAAACACGTCTCCTCGAAAGATTTCTGCTGCACAGTACTCATAACTCATGAACAATCAGCACGAAATATGATCTGGTGTAGCTGCGTTATTGGCATACAGGCTGAAGCAGGCAACCTACATTCCGTAATACGCCTGATCTGTAGTATGGTACAAGACAACATCCTCCCAAATGCTCACTATGAACGCCGAAAACGTCAACTCCTTGCAGCACAACCAATCCTCCTGCCACCCGTGCCAAAATAATCTATGTTTGGCCAAGGCCTCTAGATTGCACTTTGTTCATTCTCACAAATGATTGAGTTCCCAGTTATCTGCACAGCCCACCCTGTTTTATTCCTCTCGTTCCTCAGCCTCTCTCACTCTCCAGCTCCATCCCGAACTTCCTTGCAAGCCAGGAGGCGGGCGGCGTGCTCTGGCAGCCAGTTGGTTGCTGTTATGCAGCGCTTCAGCGCTGAGATGCTCTATTTAGCCCAGTGCCCTTCAGGTCAGGAGACGGGCGAGCTGCACCTGTCGGTTTTGCCCCATCTTCCTTCATTCTGGCTTCCCATTCCGCAAGATTCACTGCCACATGGTGCAGGGCCGTTTCGCCAAATTTTGGTGCTAGTTGCGATAACAGCTCAAGGCTGGGTTTCGCAACAAACTCCAGGAACGTGGCTTGACTCTTGGGTATTTGAACATGGTCGCGACGGCACAGCGGGGAGCATGCCACTCCAAGGCTCGCCTCTTTGTCTCCTTGTGCAAAGAGCTCTGAAACATGCAAGACACAAACCCATGTGTCAAATGAAAATGCCTGCTCAAAATGTCCATAATCCAGTGGCCGACACAACCTCAAGTCCTGGCGACCATGGATCGAAACATTTACAGCCAGACTACATACATTTCATAGGGTCCAATATAGGGCCCTGTGTTTGAAGTTGACAGCACAACCATGTGTCCAAACATTGTGCTGGCAGGCAGGTCCGCGACCCAGTCAAAGGTGCTGCCAGTCAACGTGAAGCACAACTGCAATCACCAGCCACCAAGTGATGGCCATTTGGAGAAGCACATCCAGCACTTCAAATGTGTTGTGAGACTATGTCTGCTGAGGCGGAATAGGATAGCTGGCTGGAGTGCGTGTCAGCAGTGCACCAGCAGTTGCCATTGGTTTCAGAGAGTGCTCAAACGCACCTTCCATTATTCGATGGGACCATTGTGAAGCAAGCTTCCATGGCCGCGCAGGATTTGAGATGTCAGCGCAGTGAAGCAACATCTGGCGGAGAGCTGACCGTGCATCGTCCGATTCCCATTTGTCTAGATCCTTGTCGTATAGTGTGAAGAATCGGGAGAATCTTGCTGAACATATCAACACCAACTATATCTGTCAGTCATGCAATCATATGCACAGAAACAACTTCTCACCAATCACAGATGGCAACTGAACTGATTGTCTGCCACCGTGCACTGGGAAGCAACAACTACGGACTCAATTTAGTAGAAAATGAACACATAACATACAGCCATGAGAACAAATAGGGCATTGCAGCAGGATCCTCACAGCAAGTTTGCTCTATACAGACGGTTTCATTGTGCAGTGGGGCCCACAATAATGGCCTCCTCACCATGGCGAGAAAAGGAGCACAATTGGTGGCCAAGTGCTATCCAGTGTGTTGTCCTGAGGAAACTCCATTGTGTGGCATGTCCTGGATCAACCTACCAAGGAGCTCATTATGCTTGATCATGTCAGTAGCCAGCACCATCCTGATCATCGACTTTCTCACAAACCGGAAGTCATCTTCACTCAGTCCGTCAAGTGCATGGTAGTCGTTTCCTTGCATCAACTTGAAGGCCTTTGAAGCATGGAAGTTTTCGTTCACGCTCACATCGTTGTACATGATCGCCACAGGCGACCGTGTGTTGATGTGAAATTCATTTGTAACACCTAACGCAAAAACCATCTTCAGAAACCCACCAGAAGACACGATGACCATGATCATGGGTACAAACCAGATTCCTGGTGCCATCCTTGAGATACATCTAGCCACAAACCTGCTGTGGGATTCTGCATAGATAACATTGGCTCACAAAGTATTTTCCCTGCATCTACAGTGCAATTACAAAGCATGTTGGCTTGAGGAACATACAAAACTTGTCCACTGAAGTCATGACATCTCCATTGTGAGTGTGGACCAACATGGCGTGAGCACTGTTAGGTAGCAGCAAATGCATCAGCAGGAAAATTGCCTCCACCGTTCCTGCAACAGTTGGCAACATCAGAAGACTGCAAGTAACTGAGAGTTGCCAACTCTCTGTTCTTTTTGATCATGTTCATAGGATGAGCTTGCAGTTCCAATCGGTACCACTGTATGCTCACAAGGCAACACAGTTGTGTTGCTTCAGGAACATAATGACACTCGTTTATAAAACCAATATGTGCCCCTGACTGGAACACACCACAGCCATTCAAGTGTGCCCCTCGGCCTGTCTTGCACAACATGGCCCTGCGTGACCACTGCACTAGGGCTTCTCATCGAAGTCACCATCACACAGACTGACCACACAATGCAAGTTAGCATTGCTAACCTGGGTGGGCAACATCATGAACAACAGCTGCCAGTAGCATGGCAAGCAGTTCAAGGTCTGTGAATCGCGACTTCAGATTGTCTCGTGCCAAAATGACGCCCAAAGCCTGCACCACGTCTGCAGCATGAGTTTTATTGTGGTAAGGATTGTCAAGATAGTGCTCCTCAACAGCCTGTGCACCAAACACAGAAACCCGCTGGTTTAAGACCAGGCACACCTGTCGGCCTCCGACCATGGCATGTACTGTGTGCGCACAGGGTCCAAGTGAACAAATTGTGGGATGAGGGCAGCAGACTGGGAAGACTCCAGCAGTGTGCTGAGTAACGTTGCTACTAGTTGGCCACAAAGCCCAGGGAGAACACATTCAGGGGAGCTGCCCAACTGCACAACTTCCCAGCAAGCACATGCAACCACATTTTTGATGGGCCAATTCATCAAACAATAGTAGCACGTCCACAGCCTAGTAGCCTGTTTCTTATCTTTGAAACGATCGCTGAGGTTTCATGACGGAGCATTGCGCTTGCTGATTCATCTTGAAGAGGTCACTGTGCACACACTGTGTATACAACTTGTTCAAGGCACACCACCACACACCAAGAACTTGCACTTGCAAACAGGCACTGAGCAAACACATGGAATCAGCCACGTTGACAACAAACGAAGGTATGCCCACCTTAAAGAATTTTGTCAGTTTCGCAGTATCAAGGTTTAGCTTGGTGACCAGCTCAAACTCTTCCAATATTGCCATTGCCACAGTCTCCAGTGGCTTCCCGTTTGTCAGCGTCTCCACTTTGAAGACATCAAAATCCTCCCAGGACTGCAGCTGTAATACAGCATTAATATGGTCATCAGCAATAGAAGCCTTCTTGAGTGTCGCTACCTCATACCATTCTACATGTACACAACTGTAATAGTGACTTGCCATGAGGCCCAGAACCAAGCAAAAATTGACACATGATGTGCTCAAAAATCGCAAGAAAATGGTATGTGTTTCTGGAACTGAAATCAACACTTAAGCCCGGCATTGGGCAAGGTTTCGCAGGACTTTCACATGCCTTTGTACAACTTTCATCGTTTTGCTTTGAGATGACAGGTGCTGTGGCAATATACACTTGCTGTAATCATGCACTCCCACAACGGGCGACTGATATACCTGTTGGGATCGTGCGTTCGTGAGTGCATGTGTTGTGTAACAATCTTTGACAGGAAAGTAACAGTCATCAACTGTTTGTACTCCTCTGCATTTGTTCCAACAAAATCCAATGTACAACCATGAAAACATTCTGAAGAACTGTATCATGAACACTGTCATACTTTGCCAGCAACCGATCACATCCTCCACACTGTGTCACACCATGTATTACCAGAGCATAGATTCCATAAATATTCTGCACGCCACTGCCAAACACAAGGGGGAACTGCAAAGACGTACTTCTTGTGAAGAGTAAAGCAAGCGCTGGCAAGACAGTCATGCCACGATTCCAACAACAGGACACAACAACAGCACTACCTTTGCCAACTCAGCCGGAAGCAGCAGTGAGCCGGAATCTCCAGATAAGCTGCTGTGCCTTCTTGCGTGCTGAAACAGTGCAGACAAGTTACACAAGGGTTTCAGTACTGCGGGAAGCTGTAAGAAGGGTTGACTTTGTGACGAACACACAAAACACAAGGAGACAGCTTCTCGTTAACTACATCGCCCCCTCCTATATACCAATGAAAATGAACAATATCAGCTGTGTCAGAGTTGCATGCCACTTGCACATGCAGTCACCAGACACAAGTGGTGGATGTTACACAATGTTGGGCATAGGTTTGGGACAATATTCCTGACCATAGCTGTCCCACAAAATAATAAACACTCTTGGCAACCAATTTGCACAGCCCACAACCATTGCATGCAGCACTAGTGCCTGCCACACATCTTCCTCACCATGGATTCACTGCCTGCTTCTGTCCAGTTCTTCCCTCTTATCACCTGAGTACAATGACACAGGTAACTGGGGTCAGGCAAATGCCAGCATTCGATTGTTACAAGTGAGGAGCTGTCTGTAGGGCTGCCTGGTGCTCAGAGCACCAAGTACTCAGGGTCACAGCAGCACCAGCACCAAAGAACAGACAACAGGGCAACACATGCCACAAGAGCACAATCGGCAGCCAATACATAACCTCTAGTCGCACACACGAGTACGGCCTCTTCCTTACCTCAATGTTCCTCAAGCTGAAACTATCCCAAAACTGAAGAAGATACTCTCCAGCCAGAGGGTCGAGTTTGGGGTTGTCTTCACCAACAGACTTCCCATCTTCGAATTTCATCTTTGAGAGCCATTCTGTGAGCTGCCGGAGAGCATCTTCCTCACGTTTGTTTTCACCCTTCTGCTGTTAAACACAACCAGGGCCCGCTGAACATCTTCCTCATCGAGCTGCATTATAAGGCTTTACTATAGCTCAAGATCTCCAGCGATTGTGACCTTTCGAAGCCACAATCAGGCCAGAACATGCCTCAGCCATCACAAGCAACAGGGCAGCACATGGAGCTGCGTGTCACCCACAACACCACCCGGATAACGGTGGGCTACACTGCGGCTCACTGCGTGCATTCACACAGCCCACGAAGCTGATTCCAAACTGACCTCGGAGGACTCCAACGCTTTGCACCAGAACATACAGCCGACAAAGGTGCCAGCACAGCCCTCACGTGGTCGGCTAAGGTTGGTTGTCAAGGCTGTCGTTCAGGAATGCGAGCGTCCTTCCAAAGTCGACAATAGGAAGCAAAAAGCCTCATGATCAAAATGTTCCAACGCAGAGACGCTGCCTCGCAGTACTGTTGGCCCATCCCCATAAACGTCGCAATGGAAGGTTACATTCAGGGTGCTGAGTATTCGCACAAGGGAATCGGGGTGTTGCCAAGCACCGGTGGTTCCGCACGTACGGTGGGTGACTCCAAGAAGCACCAGCACGGAAATCATCCAAATGGCCATGTGCTTCTGCACAATCTGAGAGAAGGGTGGCCGTCTGTCGGCAGTTCAGGTTGATGCCACCTTGGCACCTCTAGCGCCCAGCGCAGATCGCCTACCAGGGTTCCCCAGGGCTCCCTAGGGGCCTAAGCACCAAACGCAGGCGAGGACAACGGCTCAGGATTCATGTCGGCTGCCGGCACGAAGTTGTCCTTTATGCCAGGATCCGCGCCCGCGAAACAAGCCGATTGCGGAGACGGAAGACATACAAGTCCAGGCGACGAAAGATCGGCGACACCCAGCACCCAGCCGCATCCCAGCTTCCTCACCTCAATCCGTTTTAGTGCTCCAATGCACGTGCTCACCACTTCCTTGGACATTTCCCCGGCCATCCTACCGCCGTCACGTGCGACTCTGGAAACTCATTGGCTGTCACGGAGGGGTCTCTCGCTGGTGCAATCGGACGCACCCCACCCACAGACGGAAAGGTCCCCGGAAAAGGGGGGACGGCTGCGAACAACGGAAGAGATCCGCACCCAATTCCGGGACCCACCGACGTTTTGCGGCTGCCAGCGGGATCCCTCGTTCTCCCGCCGCTTTGCGGGCGGCTGGCCTGGGCCTGGGCCTCTGCCTTGGCCTTTGTGTGAGGCTTATTTGGTACTGGTTTTGTCCGTCCCAGGCCGCAAGTGGAGGGACCCAGGCACACCGCCGAACGAGGGAACCCGGGGGAAGTTGAACGCAGAAGCGGGCGCCTCACGTTGTGTGCCTGGGATCTGACCACCTAAAACACTGTGGCTGCCTCGGCTCTCCAAGGGACTCAGGTGACCGACTCGCCCGCAAGGGACCAATCTGTATGCGCGCATCGAGTAGTCAATCTCACTCTCCGGCGGGCACATGCCCCACCGTGTCCCACGCGCCACAGTTGGCGGGTCGTGGTGTCCTCACATGGGCCATGTTCGTTCCTGTTCGAGTCACCGCAAAATGTATTGTAATTTGCAGCCATCTTTGCCCAAAGGGTGCTCGTTATGGTGCATCCACAACCATGACTGATGACCTCACTGAATGGGATGGCCTAAGTATGCTACCATTTTAGTCACAAAAGACAATATATATTGATACTGTTTTATAAAGTTTGAACACTCCAATGTGGATGCACAAAAGACATGGGAATGTGTTGCAAATTACACAAAATATTTTGTGGAAATGGGGTTGCATTGTTTCAGTTAAAGATGAGCAATAGCTAAATGAATAATCAAAATATTGGAAAGACAATATTATGCACCCCTTAGTATAAGAGTTGTATGTAGAGTACTGCAATAAGGGGACAAGATGTCAGCTGTGGTGCAAACTATAAAGGATATATATTTCCCTATTAATGGTGTTTAGGGATGAAATATACAATGTGTTGCATGGCCATTACGTGTGACTGCTGACCAGGCAGCGGCTGAGTCACGGCCATGTGCTCTCCCGCCCTTCAAAGGAGAGAACCAATCCAGAGACCAAAGCTGAGAGCGCTCAGGGACAGGAAACAACCCACAAAGATTCTAGCTAGAAGAGCACAAGCCACTTGATATTGAACCGTGCCACAAATTGGGCCAGAATGCAAATCAAAAGAAGTCTTGGGCAAGTCACTAACATTTTCTCCCCTCGTTGCACGCTCTCTCCAAATACGCTCAGCCTCCCACAGAAAGGTAAGGCACCCCTTCAAGGCAACGACCTCCCTTGCCAGCCTCGCCAAAGGGAGGTTATCCCTTAGCATCAATGAGACCAACTTTTGATAAGCACTTGCCGTGATTCTTTGCAACAAACGTGCACCATGAGTAGGAACATCAGAAGCGAGCAAAACTGTGTTCACAAGCACCATAATCGCAAAGGCAGAACCCAATGCTTTCCCCAGTTCCCACCACCTTTTCACACTCCAAAACATGCTAGACTCTCCCGTTTGGTTGGCTGTCCCATGAGCACCACTAAGAGACACTACTATATTGTCAGGATACACAGTCACATCCAGGGCTTCTGGCTTTTTGTCCTATTCTTGACCTTATGAAGTTCCTCACTACCTCCTGATCCTCAAGGACTCTTCAGTGAAGCAACCCAATGCTTGTTGACTCAAGCCTCCAGCCACTTGGTCTTGCTTCACTTTCACTAAAGCTCAGCTCCTCCAATGCACTTCACAGCTCCCTTCGATGACCTTTTGCCTCTCTTTTAAGCCTCTCAGGACTTGACCACGAAGGCGTTGTCTTTAGCACACGTTCCCACGTTGCTCTGCCTCACAACAACGCTCCTTGGCTTGCCTAACGGTCACCGGCTTATCGACAACATTGATACGAAGTTCGCAGCACTCGCCATACCCAGCACTGCCAAAATCTTGACTCTTCCAGTCTCCAACTCTCACCAAAACGCCTCAACGACGTTTGCCAAGGGTTTCTCAGGCTCACAGCTGCTTCACACAGTCACACGAATTGTAGAACGCCCATCGACACACAGCACAAACAAACGCTCAGCACTCGAGGTGCAGCGCTGCCCGTCACACAGAATTCTGTGTAGGGCCTGGCCTTTCGCACGAAAACACTGCCTTCGACGCGTTCCCAAAGTCAAGCGCACAATGCGCAGCAACCTGTATGGTCTTGGGCCTTGGCCGCACTAGAGGTGGCCACCCGGATCCGTTAATAGCGGACAGAGGTTAATTTCCGTTAATTTTCCGTTAATTAACGGAAAATAACGAAAAAAAAACAAAAATTAACCAAAAATTAGCGGATTTTTGGATTTTTGGGGGATTTTTGGGTTTTAGTCATACTTATAGTTTATGGAATTCGCTATTAGAGAGTATGTTTGTATTTTATTTCAACCTATGCATACCAGATTTTCAACTAGCCGCAGTTGTTGTGATTTTTTGGGGTTTTTTTTGATTTTTTTGGATTTTTTTTCGTTTTTTCTGAATTTTTCTCCCTTTTTCTTTAACGAAATTTAACGGACAGCTGATAAAAATTAACGAACCGGATTTAACGGACCAGATGGCACCCTTGAATGGCCACCTCTAGGCCACACGGGTTAAGAACTCAGTTCAATGGTCAGCAGCTTTGTTACAAGCTCACAAAGTCAACCGGCTCGGTGTCCAACAGTGAGGGTCTATGCAGCGACCAAATGGGCGCACAACCCTTCTCAAATACCCCATGCCCATGCTCCAGATCCTCACGATGTTCTTAGGGAATATCCTACTGTACAACTTCACTATGAAATGTTACTGCTCCGCCAAAAACATCTGATGTATCTCCTATTGGAAAATACAACTGTGAAGCAATACAATTCCCATTATGAACATGTGAAAATGCTCCTGCCTTCTTTCCACTAACCACGCCACCAAAATATATCTAAAATCATTGCTAATTACCATAACTAATTTGCCACTATGCGGGACTTCAAATGAGCTCAGCTGCATAGTCAAATGACCATTTTCAAACAAAGCAAATTCCAGCCAATTAAACACATTATTGTGTGCAGCCAACACAAACTATTATTTCATCATCAACTATGCATGCTTAGAACCAAATTATATCATACTCTATCTTAGAGATCCAAATTCTTTATGAAACGTCTTCAGTACATTTTCACACGCATCCCAATTGCTAACCCTGAAAATTGATCAAGCCATTACCTTTCATTGGCTAAATTTCGCATTTGCTAATCAAGTACCTTCCCTAATCGATTCAAATGGCATCCTTTTGCTTCAAAACGTATCCAAGTATATTACACGAGTATAACAACACTCGTTTCTATTCATCTCCAGTCCAGAACCACCCATTTGATTGATTAATTCCCAAGATATTCACTTCCATTTCCAAGCTTTGGCCTCTATTGATTAATGACCAGCTGAATCACCTCTATTCGCTCCCAATGATTGTCCCTATGTCTTACTTACGACTCACCATCTCCCAGCCATCAGACTCCCTATCCTCTCCTCCATTCTCGGCAGCTTCTGTCTTGATTTCGCCAATGGAGATGTATTCATCTTCATCTTCCTCCATGTCAGACTCGGTAGCCTCCCCCTCGTCATTCCTTGCATCGCTCCCCGCGCTCCGCGCCTCCTCCGCTTCCTCCCCCTCCTGCGCATCCTCACCCGCTCGCTCTGGCTCTACCGCCTCCCTTCGCCGTTCGGGGTCGCGCGCCGTGTCGAGGAGCCCCGCCTGGACCATCTGGCAGAGCTCAATCCCTCGATCGTCCCAACCCCATTCTCTCTTTGCCTCCCGCTCCATCCATTTGGGGCCGGTGTTGAGCATGGCCCCCGCAGTAGTCTTCTCTCCCGCTGTGTTTTCACAAAGGCGGCAGTGCTCGGCGCGCGTCCATGCCTGGCACCCTTTGGTGCCATAATTGTTTCCATGCCCAGGCTGCCTCCGCCACCATGCGCTCTCCTCCCATGCCGTCAAGGCATGGGCCTCCAGCTCCGAACGGCCCCCTTCATTCAGGCTGTCACTCGATCGCGGTAGCGGGGGATCCACCCCGCCGGCCCCTCTTTCTTGGCGGTTTCAATCTGCCGCCTTGTTTCCTCTCTTTCCGCCTGGAGGCTCAATGCAAAAGACAGCCAAGACCCATCGATGTAGTCATGGAGGGGGAGGGATACACGGACTTGCATCCATACCTTCGAGCGGGAAACGGCGAGGGCTTCCCAACGGGCATAGATGGAGTGGTGGAGGAAGTCCATAGGTAGGCCCCCTTCACCTTCAGTGGAGGGGATCGAATTCCCTTTGCGGAGCCAAACAAACGGGTGGGGCGGAGCATGGTCCCCGTCCGCCTCTGCCGCGCGCTATGTCGCCTCCCGCTCCCTTGTCCACAAAAACGGGTCATCCAGAACCCACTCACGAATGGCCTGATCGAGGGCGAACGCCCACCTCTGGGTGGGCACAACGGCGATAAAGAAAACTCAAAGGTGGAGGCGTAGCGGCCCCCCCCGTGCAGGTGAGGCGCCACTTGGTGCTGGCCGGCCATGCCATCTCCATCCAAGGCTCAGGAAGCCCATCCCCATTCGCTCGAGTCCATGAGAATGGGGCACCAATGTCGCCCGCCACAGCCGCTCTCAATGCGTGTTGTTTCTCCTTCAACCAGCCTCCCAGTCATGGCTACCATTTTGGTCGCGACAGGGCTGAAGAGGAGCCTCCCACCTCTATGCATGGATGGATGGATGCATCCATTTTTTGGCGAGGTCGGTCCGAGCGTTCTGCAAGCTTGGTGCGGACCTCCTGGTTGGCCCTGCACTGACAGAATGCTCCGAACGCTATGTTGCTCTTGACTCAGCCGGACGGAACGGCCACCCCTCACAAGCCCTAGGGGCCAGGCCCCCAACGCCCGTACGGAGGCATTCGGTGAATTCCCAGGTCACACCCGACCTGGAAAATGT